AAATTAAATTACTTGCATATAGGAAAGGCAACATATAGAAAAGAAAAAAGCATGAAGAAAACATTACTAATAAACCTTAAAACTTAATAAAAAAATCTGATATCTTGCATATGAAAGCCTTGTAATATTTACTGATAATCTGCCAAATTATGTGAAAATAAGCTTACTAAATTAAATGTTATAGCATGAAAACTATAACAAGCACAAAATAGTTACGAGGTTGGTCACAAGGACTGAGCCCATGCTGAAAGAGTTAAAACAATACTTGAATGTTGAGTTGAATGAATTTGATGTATAGTTCTGAATTGTTTAATATATATTTCTGTATTACCTAATCTCTGAGGTGCTCTCTTCATTCTTTATGTAAACTTCCTTGAGTTGGTGGCTTGTGAGCATTTCCACAACTGTACAATAATTCCTGGTATTAAATAAATATATTTTTAGCATGTGTAAGTTGAATCCAACAATTAAAAAGGTACCTGTTACACTTTCAATAAGGTAAAACCTGGATTTCAGTCTTTTTCTTATTAACATAAGACCTAGTAGTAACCAGTTTCACTCTTACATAATAATAATACCTGATAACCATCCTCATGAATAAAACCCAACAACTACTTTCAATAAGTTAAAAATTGGAAGATAAGATAAGACCAAGTAACCAGTTTTTATTTTACAGGCAAGATCTGATAACCAGACTATCCATCCTCAGAATAAAACCCAATATGACCACTCTCTCTTTAATTGGGAAAAAACTTGACAATCAGTTTCTCTCTTACTAGAGAATAAGACCTGATAAATAGTTCCTCTTTCACCAGAATAACACCTTACAACCAGCCCTCTCTTATCAGTTTATGGCCTGTCTCTCTCTACTTAAGATAATACCTGACAACTAGTTCCTCTATTATCAGAATAAGGCCAGATAACCAGTCCCTCTCTCTTATCAGATGCAAGGCTTGATAACCAGTATCTCATCAGGATAAGACCTGATAATCACTTTCTCTGTTATCAAATTAATATCAGTCTCTAATTTAGATAAGACCTGATAACCAAGCTGTATTTAATTAGGGTAATATCTGACAACCAGTCTATCTGTAATTCAGGTGACACCTGACAACAAACTTTTATCTAATTATGGTACTATCTGACAACCAGTTTCTCTCTAATTAGGGTATTTACCATCAAACAACAAGTTTCTCTCTAACTAGGGTACTATCTGATAGGCAGTCTCTCTGATTAAGGTATTTACCACCAAACAAGTCTCTCTCTCTAATTAGTCAATACCTAACAATCAATCTCTCACTCATCTCTCTAATTAGGGTAGTACCTGATAACTACTCCCTTTCTTATGAATTTAAATTTTTGTGTGTCATCTGGGCATTGCATAATTTCTGATTTCAGTTCCTACAAATATTCTACCATATTTGGGCTCTGCCAAATAAAGATTTCTCTGCTAGCAAGAAATTCTGATTAATAGCTGAAATGTCGATAAAAGATATAAAACAGTATTTCAGTTAAATCAGTATTACTGCTCAAGGCCTACACTTGGAAAAAAAAAGGTTTTGACAGTCTACAAGCAGCTGATCCACATACCATAAGTAATACACAAGCCTGAGGCAAGAACAGAATCATTAAGCATGTATAATATCCAATAATAGGAACACTGTATGTAAGATGTGAAACCTGACAGACTAAAGTGGCTGTATTTTATTCATTACCAGAATCTATTATATCCATGAGACCTCTAATTTGCATGTTAGTAAATTAAACTAAGATCTCAAATGACCACAAAAAAAAGTTAAAGAAACAAATGATTTTATGATAAAATATAAATGAAATATAAAATTTGATGTTAATGCCAAAAATACAGCAGATTAAAATAAACTGGCAACATATCAAATAATTTTTAGGTTACTTTCTATGGCATTTGTTCTGTGCACCAAAACCTATAGAAATGTTACATTCAATAGATGGCAGATTATCAAACCTTGAGTGTTCCACAAATGTTTCACCCTGAGAGTCCACCTTTACATTTAGCTGAACAGGACTAACAGGCTGGCCCATGCTGTCTTTATCTAATGGCTGAACAGGACTGTCAGGTTGGTCCATGCTGTCTTTATCTAATGGCTGAACAGGACTGTCAGGTTGATCCATGCTGCCTTTATTTAACGACTGACTAGTGGATGCTCTCAAGTTAGAAAGACTAGCAGATTTTTTTAAAGGTCTAGTAGTTTTCCATGAAATGGTAGTGAGAGACTCTGATCCAAAATTAAGTTTTGTTTCTGCATCATTTGTAGCACTTCCTGAAGGTTGCACATCTAAGGAATGATCTGGATATTGGTGGACTCTGTGTAGTAGGCCATACGAACATGGACATGATTCACTTTGTCCATCTGTGAGGAATGACTGAGTTTGTTTACCATAGCAATAGCTAGCAGTTGTCTTGTTATTGTTTTCTGTTTGGCTACCAGAGGAAGATCTATTATCATTTCCTGGTGAAAAGACTAAGGATGATGCTTGACTAATATCACAAGGATAGCCAGGGTTTTTAATACTTTGACTCATTTCTTCAACGAGATGACCTGGTGATAAAGGTGGTGATGATGATGAATGACGGATTTTATCAGAAACATTTTCCATAGCTGCACTTTCATCACTCAAAAAACTAGTTGTTTCTAACTGGCTACAAGAATGATACATTGTTGAATCCTTGATATTATCATGAACATCTTCAAATGTGTTTTCAGTTTGTCTACGAGACAACTCTATCGGGGATAACTGTGGTAATAATGGATCATGGATATTTTCACAAACACCAACTGTTTTCTTGTCAGTCTTATTACTAGAAGACTCCACCAGTGATAACTGTGGTAATAATGGATCATGGATTTTGTCACAAACACCAACTGTTTTCTTGTCAGTCTTATTACTAGAAGACTCCACCAGTGATAACTGTGGTAATAATGGATCATGGATTTTGTCACAAACACCCAATGTTTTGTTTTTAGACTTATTACTATATGATTGTATTGGGGACAACTGTGGTGATAACGAATCATGGATTTTTTGTTCAGTTCCATCACGATGTGCCAAACTGTTTGTGATAAAACCTGTTTCAGCAGATAAACCAAAGCTATTGGATGGAAAGCTTGTATCATCAAATTCTACAGAAACAGCATTCTTTTTACCTAAATTACCTACTAACCTGTTATTTTTTTCAAAGAAGTCAAAACATTTACTATTACCGTAGATAAGATGAGAACCACTTTCTGAATGATTTTTAAAACTTGGATCACTTTCATTTGCTGTTACACTGCATAAATGCTTAATAGCAGAGTGTTGATTATTTCCAAATCTAACAGGCACAGACTGATTTACTGAACATGTTTCCGATGTCTTTTCGTCATTCTCACTTTCTGAAATTGAAGAAACTGAGTTTGTTTTCTTCATAATCTCCTCACAGTCAAAATCCTGACTAGGGTAAGAATTAATCTCCAATTTTCCTTGTCTTTCAGGTTCAGAAGTCTGAGTTTTTTTTTCAATTTTCTGTTTTCTTGTGCTTCTTTGGGTAGATTCAATATCTTCAGGATTACAAGAAAACAGAAGAGTATCTCCTGACTCTTCATTCAATACTTGATATGACAGAGCAGCTCCAGAAAGCTTGGGTTGATGCAGTTCTTTCAGATGATTCTGGAAAAACTCTGCTACAGCACCGGAGCAGGTATCTAGAAACTCTCTCTTAAGTATGACTAGTAGACGATCCCTATATAGTAGTTCTCTTTGACAGGCTTCTAAGCGAGACTTTAAAGTTGCTATGTCTTGCTCCTGATACTTGGTTTGTTTCCATAAATACTGGTTTCGTTGATGCTCCTCCTGAAGAGTTCTTTTTATAGCTGCAACCTCAGCTTTTTTGTCTGCTAACATTTCTTCTAACTGTTCCTGTTTGTGAAAAAAAAAAGAAAGTTTTATAATGCTTCAGTATATATCTTACTTAACTAAATGTAGAATACAATTGATAGGGCAATAGAAACTCTTTTACACCAAGTTAGGCTAACTAAATCTTATATCTAACTTCTCTTTTTTAGGACATTTTAGGCAATAAGCATAGTAACATTATAACACCTTTGTGTGATCCAACACTGCTGCATGCTGTGAGTAATGTAACATTAGTACACCTTATAGTGTGATTCAACCTTAGAAATGGACTTGACAGGAACTCTCGGCTCCTAAGCAGGTTGATTTTCTGTTTGCAATTATTCTATGGAACTACCCAACTGGCCATTTTCTCACTGATATACTTCAAAAGACAATAACAGTAGATGACCTTTGGCATAGACAGCATGTCTTTCTGAATTCTGTAAAACCACATCCCTGGTTTTTTTCATCCCATCACTTATTTAACTCTGGAGTTTGAGCATTCTTTTGATGGGAATTTTTCAACCACACCATTCCACTTTGATGAAATTTGGTATTACCAGCATTAAGATCAGAGCAACTTTTCATTTTCCAACCATTAATCCCTAAGAACATGTCTTAGGGTTTCATTCCACTATACCCTAGTCACTAGAAGTATATTTATTCCTAATAACTCATAGTATAATTATTTCACTGTTGGCCCTCCTTGTTGCCACTGAAGTTCAAATATTGGTGTAATAAATGTTATGTAATGCACAGGGATTTCCTGTTCACAGACTGTGAAGCTATTTGAAGCTAGCTTAACCTCACATTCATACTCAAGCCATGCAACCACAATAGTTTCTAGTGTATGGGCAGGTTTATCCAGGTCAGTCCATGTTTATGTGGTACAGCCTCCTTGATGATAATGCCTCCACCTGGATGTCATCCAGGTTGGGTGAAGCAAAATGTCTGCTTTGCTTGTGGTATTGTTGGGGCTCTAGAAAATAAACTGCCCATCTTTTTCTGAGCAACAAAGACAGCACGATTATTGGTTCCAACTTATGGATAAAATTTGAGTGGTTGGTTGGTTAGTTAAGTGTAAAATTAGGCTATCTGTGCTCTGCTCATACAGGTATTGAACCATAATTTTTAGCATTATAAGCCTGCAGATTTACTGCTGAGCCACTGGAAGACCTGATCGATAAGAAGGTGTCAGAGAACCAATAGCACCAAAACTTTGTTGAGCAGTAAAATAAGCAAGGCTATCAGTTTCAACTAATGTCACTCACAGAATGAAAGTAGTCATCTCTGACCACAAATCTGGCATCAACATCCTTGGAATGGAAATAATATGGAAGTTATCCATCAATTTCACCTATGCAACCGGTGAACTGATGTTCCACAGGAGAGTCATCAGATGTCAGCCACATTGAGCACAGGAACAGTGGGCTGCATGAATGTATGTAGCAAATGAAATAACAATACCTCTGTATACCCAAACAATCTTCTAAATACAAAGTCTAGTGCATCAGTACCATTTAATACAGTTATAAAAGCCATGCATGAAATGAACTTTTTCTTGTTTAGAAAGCAGGCAACTTAACTCAGGCAATTATCTCTTCAAGGAGGGTTGAACTCCCAATGTTGCTTTATAATTATGGTGAGCTGTCTATCCAGCTTTAAATTGGAATTGTCATTGGTTCAGTAAGTAAAGTGGAAGTAAACAAAGCTAGTGGTAACCCTAGCATTGCTTGTGTTGCACCACAGCTGAAAGAAAGCATGTAGCTATCAACATGTCTGAGATCATTGGTTCAGAACAGTATAAACAATCTAGGCCTAGAAAAAGGAACACAGTGACTTGTTGTTTGAAAATGTAGATGTATTTGAGGGACCACATGGCCAACTGGGTTGAAGAACAGTGATTTCCAACAGCACAGCCAAAGATGAGTGTCTGATAAAGTAACTACTGCACTGGCTTCCTTTGTGAAGTAGAAACTTAGCTAGTGCTGAAATACTGTAGACACTTAAAAACCTTTGTAGAGTGTGCTTCTTCTTCTCCAGTAGTGATGTCAGGAAACTGAAATATATTCCAAGATTCTGTGTTGATTTTAAATTGGTAAACATGACTGACATTGACACCTTTCCCTTACCATAAACAGATGAATGTCTGGACATATCAGAAAGTCCATATTGGTTCAACACTTTATATATGGTATTCAGATACTTCCAAGTTGAGCTAGATGATGAGAACTGCCCTAATATTGCTTTCAGCAGGAAATATGGCTTGTATGAGTTCTATGTCATGCCATTTGATTGTGTAATAGGCCCACAATTTTCAGAGCTTACATTGTATGGGCAGCAAGGGAAGAAGTGCCTGGTCTATTTCGACAATGTTTTAGTGTTTGGTGGTGTTTTAATCTGTGGCTGGGATCATGAGATTGGTACTCCATTGAATAAATATAGCAGGCTTGAAACTCAAGCCATGAAAATGTGCACTCATATGCACAGAAGCAGAGTTTATCAGTAACACAGTATGCAGTGATGGAGTTTCTACACACCTCGCTAAGACAGCATCAGTAAGAGATTGGCAACCTGTGATGAAAAAAAAATCCACAGTTTCCTTGGTTTAACATTGTATTACTGACAATTTGTGGCTACCTTCTCTGAGATAGTCACAACATTGTCTACTATGAGTAAGATTAAGATGCACTTCAAATGGAATAAGAAATGTGATCAAGCACCAAGAACCCTAAAGCTTACTTAAGGGGATACTCCAGTGCTGACATATTCATTACAAGGAAGAGAACTCCTACTGGACAATGACATAAGAACAGTGGAATTGGGACAGTGTTATCGCAGTTGCAGGATAGAGTAGAATGTGTAATCATGTATGTTAATCATATGCTTATGGATTCCAAATGCAGCTGTTGGACAATGAAGCAAAAACTGCTTGCAGTTGTAAGCTTCAAGAAGCACTATCACCAATACTTTTATGGTGGAAGGTTCACTGTATAGGTGGACCATGCTTTACTGAAATAGTTAATGAACTTAAAAATCTGAAAGGGATTATGGCACATTCGATAACAACAACAACCAGACCTAAAACATGGAAATAATAAGAGGCTATCTCACTGCACAGCAAAACTGTCCATTTGTGGAATGTCCTCATCCTGGACAATGTGTAGGAATTGAAGCTATTTCTGCCAAAACAGCATCTAGCCATGTAGTAGGAGATTTCACTGGAAGATGGATGCCATGACTAACACTTTGGGATCTCTGAAAACATCAAAAGAAGGACCCAGATCTAACATGCTCACTCCTTGCCATACAACAAAGTAAAGTTCAGCCAGCACAAGTAGAGGAACATTGCATGGATAATCATAACCTGTGACACTCGTATGGTTAGATACGAGTGCATAAAGCTGTGCTCTACCATCTCTATAAGTAACTGAGGTGTTGTTTCCCTGACTGTGCTGCAGCTAGTGGTCCTCATAGCTCTTAGTCAAGAGATTCTTTTGGACACATTCAAGTACAGATGTTTGGTACTAATGTAAATACTGTAGCATATACCACCCAGAAAAAAACTGGCTGAGGCAGGGTAAACTCTAACAGAAAATTGTCGAGTATCCTCTACAGAAGATAACCAGTTAGATGGTTTAGCAGAACAGTGAATACAAACTAACAATCATACATTTGCAAAGTTTGTCAAACATAGGCAAACTGACTTGAATGAATACTTGTCATATGTTATGATGGCACAGAGAGCAGGACAATGATGCCATCTCAAGTTATACTGACAAACTTGTCAAGTGAGTGAGAGAGAGAAACAGATGAAAGTACTTATTTGTTATTCCATGATGAGCCAGATAGGAAGCACTGGAGTTAGAAGTGAAAAACAGATCTGACAGTCAGACAAACCATTGACATTAGCTTCCTGATCAATATTGGTTAGACTAGATGATCATTACAAGCTACAATAACTGGAGATAGCAGATGTAATGCCTAAAATATAATCAGTTTCAATAATTGAAGATGATAGTTAAGAGTTCAAAAAACTCAGTTAAAAGGACATTGCAACCCTTGCTTTCTGTGTTATTGGATAGTATAGTAAGGTAAAATGTATGAGTTAATTGTGTAATTACCACTCAACTGTATTTGAAGCTAATACAGCTAGAATGAACGGATGTAATACCTAGTACATCAACAGTTTGCACAACTGAAGATGAGAGCCAGAAATTCAAAAACTCACTTGAAAGGGCTTTGTGACCCTTGCTTTCTGAGGTATCAGGATGTACTTCACAGTATAATGTGAGCTCTACATTTGCAATTGCCACTTGACTTATTTCATAAGCTAAGACAGTCATGTGGTTGAAACATCAATGACTGAAAGTATATTGCGACTCTTGCTTCCCATGGCACTGAATGAATTTTCTGATGGAAAGTCATGTTTTGAGAGAATCACTTCCTTGATATAACTGAATGGTGAGAACTCAATGGAGCATGCCTCATACTCAATAAATCCTTCCTTATACATCTGAAGAGTACATTAATTCTATATGCAGTGAAGAAGTTGTAGGTTGATGTACAGTAGTAAGAGCATGAGGATCATTCCTGGCTGAAAAGTCTGCATTTGGTTAAATTCTGGCAGTGATTATTGGTTTTATGATCCCTGAAATGAAAACTGAGTTGAAATTGATAGTTCCTAGATGGCAGCAAGTTATGGGACCACTGCCATAAAGAAGCTACTTTGGAAAGTAACCTGAGAAGGTTATTGAAACATTCTACATGGGAGTTGCAGACAGTCTGTTATTAAGCTAGTAGAGTAAGTGACAATTTGTAATTGGGGTATGTGTATATATAGTAAAGCTGGCTAATTTAATCAAATACCTATAAGCAGCACTTACATCAATTAATGTCAGGTAAACATACTGATTAATTGAAATTATGATTAAATTGATTAATCAAAATTAGTGTTTCCAATTATCCCAACAATCAATAAATCAAAATCACAACTAAACTAACTGTCATGACAAGAATCAAAT